CCAGCCAGAGACTAACAGGCTTAGCATGGGACATCAGACAACACCACAGCAAATGCTAAACTGCACCTTTATTTATGACAACTCTGCATGAGTGTTAATTATTAGCTGAATGTCCTATGTTCCAGAGGCTGTTTGCATTACAGCATAGGAAGGGCCAACTGCACGTAAAATATGTCTGTTTGTAGGCAGAGCAGCAAAGAAAACCACTTTGGAAGACAATAGGGTTTTTTTTGTTGTTGTTGTTTCTCTTCGATACCTATCCAGTTTTTATTAACGTCATATAGCCATAATGAAGGATTTGCATGAACTTATTTAGGAGACTATATATTCAGACATGATTTTATTACGACAGGGTGGATTAACACAGTGATAATGTGCAGCAGGTATGTAGGAAGTGCTGACTACACCAGATATACTTCTTGTGAAGAGTTGTTTGGAATTCTGGATTAGAAGTATCTCTATTGAGTCAGTGTAGCAGTTTGCAAGAGGGAAAACTATACATGGCATAGAACAGAAGAGTTTGCTAGACATGAAATGTATTTGTTGTGATTTTAGGAATGATGGTCTGAAGAGGTTTCCTTTTGTCAGGTTACAAAATAAATTGGAGTTTTAGCTCTGCTAGGTTATTTAAAAGAAAAAAAGAATATTGATGTGTTTTATACAGGACTCTACTGTGCTTTCAACTATTAAGCAGCACAAATGTCTTACCATTCTTTAGAGTCATGAAACCATTCTCTGGGCAGTGTACATGTGCTTTGCCTATTTCCACTTATTTCCAATTAGCTGCTTCACAGGGATATCTATTTTTAAACAAGCTGGCAAATCTTTTGTTGTGGTGGCTGTAATGATGTACTTTATGAATTTACAATCTCACTTTTAATCGATCTACCTGGAAATAGGATAACATAATTATTTTTCTCCCTGCTTAGATGGTGGAGAATGTAGGAAGGAAAAAGGATTCTGGACTTGCTAACACTGACCAGGCATTAGCAGACTTCTGAATTAAGTCTGCCTTGGGTTTCTGTCCTTGTGATATGTGTGTCTTTGGACATTTCAATTTTTTGAATGTTCCAACTTAAATAACAGGGTAAAAAAAACCCAGGTAAAGCGTGGAAATGTAGTAAAATGAGAATCGATCACTTTGTAGTGGAATACTCTATGAACAGTCCTCACAGAAAATGTGTGGTATGTGGTGCAACATCTGATTTATATAATTTTGAGGTCACCTTTTTACTTGGCCCCTGAATTAAATGATTTGGTCAAGGCAGGCAGCCTCCCCTTTCACAGGAATGCAGGTTACTTTCCATAGCTGTTCCAGTTGGGTAGGTTTGGTTTTGGTGTCAGCCTTCAAGAAAGATGTCTGGTGACATTAAGTATGGTGCAAGGAAATATTGGCACTACAAAAATGATAGAGGAGTCAGTTGCTAGCATAAAAGTATGCAAAAATCACTGCATTCTAGGGCTAAACCTTGCTTTTTGATTGTGCGTAGATGGACTTTCTGAAAGTAATAGGCAGAAGGGGAAACGCAAGCCACTTGTGATCAGGAAACACCGTCTCCTTTGCATACTGGGAGAGTTGGCTTTCAGCAAGACTTTCCCATCCTAAGCTGGCAAGGCAAGAAGGTGCTTTTTGGCAGGATGGACCAGCCTCACCCCTGTATTATGCTCATTTCTGGCTTGAATAAAGGCACGTGTGCTCAAAACATGAGTGTAAGCTAGCGTTAAGTAGTGTTGTGGTAGTACATGGTTTAGTAGTGGACTTGGCAGTGTTAGGTTCGCAGTTGGACTCAATGATCTTAAAGGTCTTTTCCAACCTTAATTATTCTATGATTGTACATAGATGACTATCCTAGCAGATACTGGTTTCTGTCTGTCGTGGTACTAGATGAGCCGTTATCGTAAGGATCTCCCAGGGCATGGGAAGAAGGATGTGCTGGGATTTTGGTCCCCACATTATTTACAGGGCCTGATCCAAAGTCACTGACACCAATTTACTCCAGTAGTCTCTGACTACAACCAGAATTTCTAGGTGTCCTAGAAGGAAACAGTTTGATGAATTTATAAAGAAATTATTTCACTTCTCTGAAAGTGTGATTGTTAGTGTCCCTACATAGCTGAACCTACATCCTAACAACGGCTCTGTTAAGTTCATGTTACAGTATTCGCCTGCTGTCTACACATGAATTTCTCAGAATTTTGATGAAGGACAAAAGAGATGTAGCTGTGTTGTAAGAGGATGAAAAGTAAAAACAGGGTAAGCTTGTAAAATAAAGATTGAATTTGTAAGCTTGAAATCCATTGAACTCATCCAGAGCACAGTACAATGCAAACCCCCTTATTCAAGGTCTGCTAGTTAAGTGTACCATAGCACTGTCATGATCCATCAAACCTGCCAGATAAAGAGAGGCTATTTTAAAATTTCTCCTTCAGGGCATGGGGAAGTACTGTTCTTGCAAAGATAGAAATTTATGATGATGCTAAAAAAAATGCAGATGAAGTGAATAATTAATGAATTCAAGACAGGACTGAAATATCTTCCTAAAATGTTGCTATTTTTAGCAGGGAGTGCTTCTGCAGTGCTTGTCATGTGATCCTATTGCCTTCTGTGAGCAGGAAAACAATTTGAATTAGTTTCTCTTTCCCCATGGACCTATAGGCCCAGTATATAATACCCCTTAGCATCTGCTTCTGCCTTAAAGCAAACGAAGTGATTTTAAACCTCATGCAAAATAAAACACTAAGGAAAGCTGTACTTAAAGACAATCTTTATAGCAGCTGAATAGTTTTTATAATAGTTTGTACACTGAGGCTGTACAAGGGGGCTACTGCAATGTGTGTAACTTCCAGCTGCTGCTGAGGTCCAGTAATATTCTGGCTGTCAAAGAACGTAGAGGCAATTACCAATAGGAGGTTGCAGGATCTGGCCCATAGATACGGATTTAATGTAGACGGATTTGTGCCTCTTTTCCCTATAACCAGTGTGGAGTGTTGCTGTGTTTGAACTACTCTGCACATTAAAAAGGTTATAGTCAGAAACGTCTCTAAAATAAATTGTTATACACAGCTGGCCTGCGCCTGTGCTCATGATTCTGCACACACTGCTCAGCTGGACCCGCGGGGAGGGAGGTCTCCGGCCGAACCGCAGGAGAGGGTGTGAGGAATGGGACTGCTGTCTTTCTTCTTCCCCGTCATAGGCTCCTCCTGCAACTGCGCAAGCCACGGCCACCCGGGTCCACACACTGCTGCCGCAGTGAATACTCAAGTGTTTAACACCCAAATCCTGGTCCTCTTGGGGATTTCTCCTTCCTGGAGGGTGATGAGGTTCCCAACACCCATCAAAGGGGAAGTCAGGAGCTGCTTACTTGCTGCCTTTCTTGCCTAGTGGAGTTGCCACAGGTTGCATTCAGAAAAAAACCTCCAAATCCCAAACCTTTGGGTGCTGAGGGGCACCCTGGCTTTGCAGCCCAGCACCCCGTTGGCAGGGGTGCAGAGGGGTGCTGGCTCGCTCTCCCCACGTGGGATGGTTCCTGGGTGACTCTTGTAGGGTGCGTAGGGCTCCTTGGACCTGACTGAGACCCTGGTCCCCAACCCCCATGTAACGCAGCAGCGAAACATCTGAAGCAGATCGCTTTGGGAGAAGGTTGTGAGCTGGGTCCTGAGCAGCAGAGGTGGCCCCAAAGGTCCCAGGGCGAGCTGCAAGCTTTGGCGATGGTGGGTGTTGGGAAGTTCTGGATTAAGCCATGGATGGTGGCTTCTTGGGGGCACTGGAGCGTGAGCTGCAGCTCCTGAGTTGTGTTCAGGCACACATTTACGGCTTAGGTGCTGTAAGTGCTCTGCTGCACCTGGGCCTGGGTCTTCGTTTTCCCTTCTCTGTGCATCTTTCTAAAAGGACTGTTTTAAGATCTAATGTCTATAAAATGTGTGCACAGAAGTCTGTGTTGTGTGGAGCTTTGTAAGAATTAGAAATGGATCCTCAGCTGGAAGCTGGGTTTGGTCAATGTGAGTGCTATTCAAGTGAGAACTCTTGTTACAAAAAATGTGTTAAATTATCATTATAGTGCTTTTTGTGCCAGCTGAAAAGACTATTTCCAGGCTCATTTTTTCCCAGCTTTCCATCAGCTCTCCCATGCTAGAGCTCACCACCTTTTTTCCAGTCTTCCAGCTCAGTCACTTGTGTGAGTCCTTCCTAAAATGAATCATGTTTTCAGGTGGCTGCTTTTTAAGCAAATCTATTTAGACCAAAAGGGTTTGGAGGGGTACACACAGACTGAGTAAGTGGGTGAACTGGAAGGAGTGGGAGTCTGTGGCAGGGGGAATCTCATGAATGGTTGATGTCTTCAGTGGGTCCCATCAGTAGGACAGGAGGACAACCCTAGTAAAGCAAGCCTGGAGGAGTTTCCTCACCTAACTGCATCTCAGCATGTGAGGTTTGTGCTCCTGTTTGATGCTTTCTTGGGTTGTGGTTCCGTGATACAAATAATAAACCAAAAGAAGGGTAGTAAATTGTATCTTTTAAAATTAATGAAGTGCATCAAGATCTCCATACAATGAAAAGACAAAGAGATTTTAAGGCCCTAAATTGTATTACAGCCCTGCAAACCAGTTGTAGTTTTCTTTATTTATGTCTGTTTATTTGAATGCCTGCACTCATGATTGAAGCAATTAATTATACAAGTCCAGTAATGTCTTATGAGCTGCTTGGGAATGATCAGAAATTAAAATACCTATTTTCAGTTTTGTTGTTGCTGTTTTGATTTGGGCAACGTGGCTTTTGGAGAATCGTTTTTGCTTCACATAGTGTTATCCACCCTTGTGACTGCTTAATGAAAAACCCAGCAATACAGCTTTACCCAGCTGAAACCGGGAATGTTGAAATGGTTCATTTTGCGAATTGAGCAAGGAGGTACTGATTTCAAGCTGTGAAAATAGTAATTCTTTTAAAAATAGCTTATTTTTGTGGCTATCTATCTCCTTACTGCTTTTTCTTTTTCTTTCTGTAGGAAAAATTAACCCAGGAGTGTGTATTCAGAGAGCAGTTTGAAGAAAACTGGTATAACACATATTCATCAAATCTATATAAACACGTGGACACTGGAAGACGATACTACGTTGCGTTAAATAAAGATGGGACTCCAAGAGAAGGGACTAGGACTAAACGGCATCAAAAATTTACACATTTTTTACCTAGACCAGTGGACCCTGAGAAAGTGCCGGAACTATATAAGGATATTTTAAGCCAAAGTTGACAAAGACAATTCCTTCACTTGAGCCCTTAAAAAGTAACCACTATAAAGGTTTCATGCGGTGGGTTCTTATTGATTAGCTGTGTCATCACATCAGCTCCACTGTTGCCAAACTTTGTCGCATGCATAATGTATGATGGAGGCTTGGATGGAACATGCTGATTTTGTTCTGCACTTAAAGGTTTGTCCTCCTGGAGGAGAGCCTATGCCCACTCGCTTGATTTAGTACGAGAGGGAGCGCGAGAGAGTGAGTGCGAGAGAGAGAGAGAAAGGGAGAGGATGAATGGGAGTGAGAGCGTGCGAGAGAGGAGCCAAGGGAAGGAGGAGGAGGAAGGCCTGATGCATGCTGGGGAATAGACACGCTTTTAAATTTTTGATCAGTTGTACTTCATCATATATCAGCATAGCTGCCATACTTTGATTCATCAGGATTTTTGGCTGGTGGCCTGCTCAAGTGTACGCTGCATTTACAAAGGCATGGAGGGTGCAGTCTTACTTAAACAAGAGACTTTTCAGTTAATCGCTCTCTGGGTCTTACCCCACTGAGTTTAAAGCAAAGACCTCTTAGTAAAAAAATAAAAATAAAAAGTTAAATTTATTTATAGAAATTCCAAAGGCAACATTTTATTTATTTTATATATTTATTTATTATATAGAGTTTATTTTTAATGAAATATGTACAGGCCAGATAGGCATTTTGGAAGCTTTAGGCTCTGTAAGCATTAAAATGGCAAAGGCCACTATGAACCTGTGGTAAATTCATGCAAGTAAATATAAAGGTGCATGGATAAAAACAAAAAAAACAATAAAAAGGTAATAATAATAATAAATTCTAGTGACCCTCATGTACTAAAGGTGACAATCTCTTTTGTGCCCGTATTATTGTACAAGTATGCACACCACTCATGACACTGAGTCCTCACTCTTCTGACTGCTTGTTTCATAGCTTACCCCCAGAGGATTAAAGAGAAAACTGGGTCTTCAACTTTTTTTATGTGTCTGTAATATTTCCTCTCTGATAAAGTGACTTCTTACATCCTTGTAAACTTCACGGCTGTGGAAAATATAGGGGTTGGAATATATTCTACTTGTTAAAACCTATTGCAGATTATACCAAAGCTAAATGATAAATATGCTTTTTTTTTTTTCCTAAAGCAGAATGCCAGAAACAACATAAGTAATATCAACAATTGTATTAATTTTAAGATTCCACAAATAGCACATAACGGTTTCAGAGGGCAAGAACCAGGTTAACAGGATCACTCTTGTAAACATGTTTACTTGTGCACTTGACTATCTACTATGAAATTATACAAGTTCCATAGGGGTCATTGTAACATCTTTTATGGAAAATTGCTTTCAGTGTGAACTGTCATAATACATGATATTAGCGCCCTTCCTAAAGTAAAACTTGCAAAATGAAACTAATAAATCTCTATCAATAATGACAATGAGGGGGACAGTATTAGACTTTTTTTTTTTTCCTAAAGTATGTTCAAATATTCATGAACCGTAAGTGAGCTGACAGTATGTAATATTTAAGGCATTGTAGCATTTTATGTTAAGCACGCAAACACGTTGATTAGCAGTTACCATTTGGGAATTAACCCTTAGGAAGAGGCATTTTTTTCCCCAGTACCCTAAAGGAAAAAAAAAAAGAGAGAAAAATCATGTAAGGTCCATATGACAAATGCATTTTGTAGTTGTTGTATCCCTTAGGATTTGAATCCGGTGCCGTTATGTTGAGTGTAACCTTTGCCATGGGATCTGTCAGGAGCGTGGCTGGTCCTGACACCCCCGGCTGTCCGCAGAGGCACGGAGGCTGAGCACAGACGTACTTTGGAGGAGCTATACATAAGTTTGTAGCCTATTCGTAATTAAGTAATTTTTGCTCTAAGGCACTCTTGTCCATGTGATATATATTATTTGAGACGTAATTCTGTTCTGGAATAACCTCTGGCTTGGTGTCCTGAATGAACGTGACCTTTCTGTACTCGAGCAGGTAGGAGGGGCCATGTATCAACCAGCGATATCAGCAATCTTAAATAAAATGTGGCATTTTATTATAATTGTTTATGAATGATAAAGATACGTAAATTATGTTAGTTGATTTGTAGGATACAGTTAGACATACTTGTCTAGGGACTGTTATTGCCTGGGAATTTACAGCCTTCGACTGCGGCCCACGAATTTGTTTTTAACTCTTCAGAGCTGCTGAGACCTGCAGGCAGTTTGCAGGTCAACCGGGTGCTGAATCATTTGTCCGGGCGGTGCAAAGCCATGCCGGACCGTAGGAGAAGAAAGCAAGCTTCTGGGGAGGACTAGGGTTCATTGCTCAGTGTTAAACAGGCCAATCCTACCGCAAGGAGGGGAGGTTACAGCTCTCTGCTTTGTCAGTAAACCTGACATACACCGGGAAATTAATCGCAAAGGTTAAAAATACTATGAGTTGAGGCCACAATACTAGGCCATGGTTTGAGTCTTAATGTTAAATTCACTTGGATTTTTAGTAATAGGCAAGTCATTACTACTAGTTAACATGTTTTATTTAATTTATTTTTTTGTATTTTTCTAAAGAAAGGATTAAACCCAAGAAAAATGTTATGAGTTTATGGCAGTCCATATAAATAAACTGTAACCGATTTACTCGAATAACCCGTAATGGTGTGTAAATACTGACTTTATGTAAATATAGAAACATGTAATTCAACATAGGCATTATTGCGAGACTGGATGGTCCAGGAGTTGGCAGTTTGCCACTCCCTGCAGGTTCACTGGGTCAAATTCGGCCTGTTTCGGGTAGTGAACAACAGATTCTGTTCAGTCACTTGTGTAAAATGAGTTATTTCTATTTGCTTTCTGGCGGGGGATGGGCAAAACCGTGGTCACCTGGGTGCTGCTTAGCTCCTTTGCCAAGGCGTGAAGGGGTGCGGATGCCCTCCCGCTCCTTACGTGATCCTGCTAAAACAGGGCTGGAGAGAGCTGACATGGCAAGGCGGGGAGGCTTGCAGTGCCACTCCTCCTGTGCTCTGGACAAACAAAAGTCTTCGTTTTCTAATGCTGTCCATCTGGCACCTTTCTTAAGCACTAAAACTCACTTGAAGAAAAATCTGAGGGAGAAACAAAGGAACAATTGGTGTTATTTACTTAATATTCTGTAATGGTGTGTAAATACATACAGAATTCTGTAATTTGTATAAATACATTGCTATAGAATTTTGAAAATTGGTATTATTTGCTTGATGTCCCTTCAGAGCATTTTCTTATATGTGTAATAACAGGCTTGCAAAAAGATGTCCTTTCTTATTCCTAGAAAGGGTGTGAGAAAATTCCAGGAAGACCAAAACCATCAATATTTTCTATGTCTTTTGCTAAATTGGAAAAAAGCAGGGGGATATCTTTTCGGTAAGAATTGCATCAGCATTTCACCTGAAGCAGATCTGTCTGGGCAAGCACCGTGGGCACAAAGGTGATGGAGATTCAGAGCAATGTTATTGCATGGGCTGGTTTTGAGCTGCATCTGCTAACGTGTCAGGCAGTGCTCCCAAACTTAAGTGGGGTGGATGAAACCTAGCAGAGCTGGGCAGTGCAGAGAGTGGAAGGAGAAAAATCAGAGGAAAATTGTCTTAAATTACCACCAATCAGTGCAGAACTTAAACTGCCTGCCAACTGGGAGGAAAAAAAGATGCCTTTCATAAATGACTGGCTGTGATGTGGAGGCTGGAGATGGGACTCTCTGGTGTAAAAAGTCAAGCATTGCTATTGTCCCCCTGGAAAAAGATAAATGTGTGCTTAATAAACATACAAATAGGAGGGAGTTGAAAAGACTGCTTCCAAGGCAGTCTCTAAGTTTCTTTGGAGACAGAATATGGCAGGAGGTAAGAGAAGATGCATCTGCAGCATGTCTTTCAGAGTCCCTTGCATCATCTTCTTAGCTTATGCTCTGCTCTGCGTACTCTTGTATCAAGTAAAGGAGCGAATGTAAGGTCCAGCTCTGATACCCATGATTATAGGAGTAGAAATAGATGGGCTGTGAGCCATGCTGTGCACCTTTTTGTGTGAACTCCTGTCCCAGCTAGTGAATTCTCACAAGGTCCCTGTGAGGTACGTTAGCAAACATCAAGATAGGGATATTGCCAGGGTCCTTACAACTGCAGTTTGTTTTGCAGAAATGTGAGGTTCTCGAGTCTTTGAAATTTTGATGAAACCTTGGAAACTCACCCCCTGCTCATGTAGCTGTGTATGTGTAGGCAGCCGTATTTGTAGGTAGGGAATCTGGGGGAAGAAGTAACCAACAACATCATCCTCAATGTTTTTTTCCACACGGCATATCATTTACTGATCTGAGAATAGAAACTAGAAGACTTCTGTTTTCCAGACTTTTACTTCTGTTCTTAAACTGTTAGAGCTCTCCATGGGTTGCTCACAGGTCAGTTCTGTCCTGTGCTGGTGTTATCTTTCACCTTACCATAACACTACAAGGTGGTTTTGCCATCTGGCCCCTAAATAAGTACCAGTAGTATAACCTCATTTCTTCTTGTCAGGAAGCTGAAACAGCCTGCCCTAGAGTCTGTTGCTGAACAGTTTGGCACTGTGAAGTGAACAGGGCATGGCTAATTAGCATCTTAAATTTAGGATTTATACAATTTTTCCATCAAGGATAAGAAAGACGGTGATTATAAACAAAGAAATGCTATTGTGCAAGGTGTCTTGTCAGCTTAGTTGCGTGAAGTTTGAAAGCAGAAAATGTTTCTTGATGTTAGGAAGTTTAAAAGGAGAATAATAATCAAGTTCCACCTGCAAAGGAGTTTATAAAACCCAGTCTTGTTGCCTTTTTCCCCAGTGGTTATATATCTTTAGTAGCTTGTGTGCATTTTCTTCTACCTGATGATATTGGAAAAGACTCTTTTATTTTTCATTCATTGTTTCTGAAGTCCAGCTGTCTTTGTATAATTTTTCAGAGTTATTCTTGGTCTGAACCCTGGGGCAGGAAAGTTGCCATGTGATCCTGGATTAGGGCAGAGGATCACATGCGTTACAAAGATGCTGCTGTTGTGCTCAGAGTAGCTGGTATAGTCCATAGCATGACCTTGTCTTATTGTAGCTATCACACGGAGGGCTACAGCATTATTTGTGCCTTAATACATCGTATGTTATTGTTATCATAGGAGACGTCTTTTCAAATGATCCTCAGGTCATGCCAGCTTTATTAAACCCTCATCTGTCTCCTGAACACACGCTCACAAATATCCTGTCATGGCGAGCAGCGTATAAAGTAAATTTTAGGTCCATATTGCTTAGTGCTGCAGAGGGGTTTCACCTCACAGAAAAAAAAATAAAAGAAAAATCCCTTTTTCTTTATGTGGAGGGAAGTTATTTTTATGCGCAGTACTCACAAGTAGCAACTACAACACAGTCAAAAGAATTCTGGAATTAGACTGAACTGTCAACATGTTTCTCACATTTCAGTTTTCTTGAGAAATCACAGACCATCAAATTATGGTGATATGCAAAATATGCCCTGTAGATTATTTTTTTTTCCATGTCCAGAGGGCCTGGATTTATGTATATCTTACTGTTGGAGGCAGTAAGTCTAGGTGAAAAGAGC